TTGTAAGTACAATACGCGTTATAAGATGAATCACACTGGGGGCGATTGCGTGACGTCAAAATAACATTATCAAAGTATAAAAACAATTATTGGTTCATGCCTATAGCTGTCAAAATTATCATGGTATGGACTGTAAATAAATTATTAAATGATTTCTCTTCTCTCTCACTTTTCGCGCTCTTCTCGCTTTTCGCCCCCATCCTGGGCGAGAGGGAATGCCAGCTCCTAAGATGACCCAGAGTTCAAGCGTGGGAGAGCCATGCTTCGGCACGAATGGGTCGGCTCGACCGGAGTGATACCACGGCCTCACAGAAAACCGGCGTGAAATAACCACTGCGTTGTGCTTCGCCGTGTGAGTGAGGTTACCGGAGGCCCAATCCTTCCCCTCCCCCAATCCCTCCTCAATCCCTAAATCTCCAAAACCCTAATCCCTAAAAGGCAACGCACTCGTAACTCCTCCGTTGCGAGTTTCCATGGGCGGCGCTGATTGCTTACCATTAGGTAATCCGTCTGCTCATTTGCCGACCTATTACATAAAAAACCCACTGACCCAGACTTGCTGACAAAAAGCCACCTCGTTCCTTCTCCTGTTCCAGGATAAAGCAACGGAACCCCCATTGACCTGCAACTCTTCTACAGTAATCTTATTTCTTACTAATCCACACTTAATATTATAAATGTGTAGTCACTAATATTATAAGTGTGTAGTGTGGGGCAACGCTAAAAAAAAAGGAATGCGAAAATAACTCTGTCTGTCTGTCTGTCTTTTCTAAATGCCTAAACTACTGAACCGATCTCTGTGAAATTTGGTACAGACATAGTTTGGAACTCGAGAAAGGACACAGGATAGTTTTTATACCAAAATTCTGCAGGAAGTCACAATTACACGCGTACGGAATCGCAAGCAAAAGCTAGTATGTATTATAAATGCCAAAGTTAAGATTTTTGTATGTTTGTTGAAACGACTGAATGGATCTGGATGAGACACAGACATAGGACACACTACACTAACAAAATAGATGTAAAGGATCAGTGTGCATAAGATGGCAGCACTATCGAGTTTGCTCTCGTCAAATATTAATTTATTTAAAAAACATCAATTTTTTTCATTATTTATCTGAATGAATTCGCAGACTTTTGTACTAAGTACATAAGATAGAGGAAAAATATTTTCAAATAAGGATGACTTGCATACAAGGATAGTCTAAGGAAAAAAGGTTTTAGGTGACATCTTGCGTGCTATAAATAGCTTTATCCATAATGGGTTAGAGTTCATTTCTATTAAGCCTATGCTAAGAATGTGTTTCAATACAACATACTAGGACAGACTGAGGTTAAGATGAGGATGAGCGTTACCATTCAAATACTTAAATATCAACCCTGAACTAATGTGCATAAGAGCAAATTTTCAATGTAGCATGTAGGTGATTTCACCAATTTTACGGCATCAATGTAGGTGGCGCTGGTTTTTTTTTTCAAGGAAAAATCATCAAATGACTTTTTTCCGCCCAATGTAAGGCGAGAGAGTGTCAGACGCTTACTGACTAAAAACCCCCCGTTCCTTCTCCTGCTCTGGGCCGAGGCAACGGTGCCTCATTGCACTTACCCCGCAACCCCGGCTGAACATCAGCTCTATAGGGCCCCGTCTGTGGTGGTCTATTGGCTCTTTGAAGTGCGCGAGGTGGCACTGGTGGCTGGGCAATCAGGTGAAACCACTCATTGTGTGTTTCAGAAATGTTTGGGTCTGGGTGATGAGTTCATAGATCAATAAAAAATAACTAGATAAAGAATCTCATACAAAATTTCGCTTCAAAACTGTCGCCAACTCTGATAGCTGAATTAGTTCAGCTATCAGAGTACTAATAATATATCAATGAAAATAAACTTTAACAACCAGTCATAGTTTAGAATCCACAAATGTATGTACGAAACCTAAACATTTTTTACGACCGTTATTTATCAATGGATATGTGAATTTGTATGTTTGTAAACGCATCAACGACATAGAAGCAAATGGGGGAAGTTTTTACTGCGATCTGGGCCTGGAGCAGGAGAAAGAACGGGTTAGGTTTAAGTCAGTAAGAGTCTGACACTCCCTCTCGCCCCAAGCAAGGCGGGAGAAGTCATTAGATGATCACCAACGTCAATAAAAGAATTAATTACTGACTTTGCATGTTTTTATAACATTTTGCATCTCATATTATTGGGTTTTTCGCATTATTTCGGCAAGTGAATTGTTTACACATGAGTGGGAATTACCGCGAATTACGTTTATTCTATTTTTTTAATTAGTCATTTCTTTGTGTTATTTCCCAAAAAAATATGCAGACATTTTATTATAGAATACAAAAACTAAAAATAAAAACATTCGATGATCACTTTGTAAACCGCTTTTTTCCAAACTTTTATACTAAGAATCTTTAAAATCGGGGCATTTTCTTCCGGCTTACTAATACCGGTTTTTCCAATGAAGAAGATTAAAAGAGATTTTTTCAGTCAGCAAACGAGCAGACGGATTACTTGATGGTAAGCAATCAGCGCCGCCTATGGACACCGCGCAAGTTACAAGCTCGTTGCCTGCCTTTTTTGGATAAGAATTGGGACTCCGGTAACATCACTCACACGGCTAAACAAAACGCTGTGGTTGTTTCACGCCGGTTTTCTGTAAGGCCATGGTATCACTCCGGTGGAGCCGACACATTCGTGCCGAAACTTAGTTCTCCCACACTTAACGAAGAAGAAGCAGATGAAGAAGATTAAGTTCAGTGGTAATTCCTTCTGTCTTGTAACTGTCTCGTCAGCTGATCAAGCAAGCAATGCAAACAAATGTATAGTTTTTTTTATAAGATTGTAGGTCGTTTGGGTGACCAGGTTTGCACCTGGTCTTGCAACTTCCCAATAATATAACATGGCCTGGGCCTGGAGCAGGAGAAGGAACGGGGTGGTTTTTAGTCAGAAAGAGTCTGACACTCCCATTCGCTCTAAGAAGGGGGGGAGAAGTGATTGGAAAGGACGTAGTATTAGCAGTAGACGCTTTATTCTGTAATGCTGATGATCAGAATGAAAATGGTCGGAAGTGTTTGACCCTCAACACAATCAATTGAAATAAAAATAAACTTCAGTTGAATGACTTATCGGAGGTCCTTAACCAACTATCAGTAATATTATTAATTATTTATTTTTATACTTAAGTACTTTCATTAATAAGTTGCATCGTATAAAAAATATTAATTTGTGGTAGGTAATAGTATTTACCTACTATTTGTTGTCGTGTGTTTTGCACTTTTTTGTCTACAGTTATACCACGTATTTAAAGTTATAGAATAATCGACTAAGTTAAAAAAAATATTAGGTACTTACTTAGATCAATGTCGAAAAAAACTCACTTTCCATTCATATATTTTTCGATAAAACATACGTAATAATGTAGGCTCGTAAAATTCGTGTTATTCTAAATAGTTTCAAGAATTTTTAGGTAGTAGGTATGCTATTTGACACAATAAAATATGGTGCCGCATCATGCAATTTCGTTTAAAAAATTATAGGAACTGACGATTTTTCAGACACAGACTTATCAATTTCGCAAAATGTTGTTGTAAGTATAATATTCTTTGTGTATATTAGACAACTTTTTTTTTAAATACCCTACATTCTGCCATTGATGTCAGAGAAGGCTCATGTCAGACTCTTACACGCGGTTTCCGAAAGGCCAATCAATGTTACAATCAATTTAACAATATTTATTTATGAAGAGATTTGACACCTACCTAGTTAGTTAATTTTAACATTGATCGGGCTGATCGGATACCGGGCATTACTGAGCCAAAAGCCACACCATTTCAGATCGTTCCATTTTCAAAATTTACATTGAAACTGAGGTAAGATTAATTTCTGCCACTTAGAAGCTTTTATTCGATTTCCTCTTTTACCTAATACAATTATTTTGATGACCAAATGCAAACCTAGGTAAATAAATTATTAAAAAACCGAAACATTCTACGAAAGAATAGAAAAATATTACAAAAAAAATACATACCTTTATACTAGGTATCATCAATAAAATATCGTAAACAAAAGCTAACTATAACATCGTAAAAACCACGGGTAAAAACCAAATACCTACCTAATCAGTTTTAGCTCCGTGTTAAATCATTTTGACCTCTTTGGTATTTATTATTGTACATAATATTACGTACTTAACACATACCAATTATTAAAAACAATACATAACAAACCATATGTTTAAACATTGCATTATGGCAATAACAATTGCCGCTGATAGCGGTTTCCCGTCACCAGCGATCAGCTGTTATCTGATACGAAGTAATAATTACCCACTCATTTTAATAAATACTAGCTTTAAAAGTTTATATACACATTGTAATTACTATACGGCATCAATTTCAAATCGCGCCATTTTTATTCATACGTCAAAATTTTAAAGTTCGAAGTTAGATTTTTTTTTCTCCCGGACAAATACAAAAACGAAAGAGGTCGGTATGGTAATTTATGAATGCTTATATGAAAACTAGTTACGAGTGGTAGTAATAAAAATAAAACCTACGCTGTCTCCGTGTGTTGTGTTTATTTACTGAGCTAGACGTTTCATTATGCGCTCTTTGTTTTCATATGACTACATTGTCCTAATAAAATGATTGTGCACGTCCAATGTTCGGATATTTACAAAACTTGTCATGTGAATCTATGTAAATATAGATATCTTAGTTCCACCACTTGTTATAAAGTCGAGAATCGTACAAAAAGTGATGTAAAGAAAAACAAAGATTTAACATTGAGCACAAAGTTTTGCTAAGTCAACTAATGATTAACATTCAAGGTTCTTGCTTGCGTTGTGTTTTACTAAATAATAATCACGTACATTCTTATAACAAACAAAAACAAGGAATAAAACAAAATTATGGAACACTTTTACATAGGTAAAACCAAAAATCACATTTGATACCGTTTATAAAAGTACCTTAAGCAGAAAAAAAACAAACCTCGAATTAGCCTTCGACATTTTCGATCCGTTCGTTCCAAATTCAATTTCACTGCCGCCAAAACTTGTAACCAAAGGCACGTCGCCTTCCGCCATTTTGAAAAATTCAAATAAACACTTTTATAAACTCGAAATTACTGTTTTATTATATCGTGCGTTAAATATTATTAAGTATATTAGCGCGCACAACCCGTCGTCGCGGCGTTCGGCGATGCACTGAAGAGTGAACGATTCTATTCTACGATTATTTTATTGATGTTAATATAGTGATGGTCGGTATACACAGATAACAAATAATGACCGCTGGTCTGTTGTGCCAATGATAATTGGACGGGTTTATGCGAAGCTGACGCACGCTAGGATCATCGAATATTTATACGTTGTGTTGTTGACATTATTTAATTTGTAATTTATCTCATTTCTTTGTTTTTACGGATGCAACTTCGTTAGTTGTGACGCCATTTTTTTATTTACTTTGGTAATTTGTTTGTTTTAATATAACATCATGACTTTTTTACCTGTTGACCTTGAAACTTGTAATACATCCTTTTTGATGTCACAAGTGATATTATTTTGTTCCTTATAAAGAGTTTCTTACACCCCATTTTTGCTAGCTACACGTCCAATGAAATCTCTAACAATGAAATTATTCTGGAATTTGTGCTTTTAGAGCCAAAGAGCCAATAGACCACCACAGACGGGGCTGATGTTCAGCCGGGGTTGCGGGGTAAGCGCAATGAGGTACCGCGACGTCGGCCCAGAGCAGGAGAAGGAACGGGGAGGTTTTTAGTCAGTAAGAGTCTGACACTCCCTCCTGTCCAACCCTGGGCGGGAGAAGCCATTTGATGATTATACCCTCATAAAAAAAAAACTCACACGGGGTTACACCGAAAGCATTGTTACAAGCCATAATAAATCGATTTCGATTTCGGCGTCAAACATCTTCACATTGGCTCTGACGGAAATGATCTAGTATGGAAATGAGCCAACGTGTGTACACTTAACGTTAAGCCCGCAGTACACATTGGCCCAAGGTAAGGGGCGAACCTATTGGCCCAACGCGTAGAGGTACTAGGCAATATATTAGTAGCGATGTTCCGTTTTGCACCAATATTGGCGAGTAAACCGAATGTGGTTGAATTTTTTGTTCACACATCAAAGAATCTTGGCGCGCCGCTTCCAATATACATACCGCCAAGTAGCCCTCTACACGTGTGGCCAATAGGTTGGCCCAATACCTTAAGCCAATGTGCACTGCGTATCATTTTGGCCCAAAACCTTGGCCCCATGTGTACAGCCGGCTTTAGGGCCAACATATCAATAAACAGTACTGATTGGTCTACACACATCTACCCACATAACATTACCTAGTTTATGTGGGTAGACTTGTTACCTAATGTGACATTCACGTAACAAAACAAACAGACAATACCTACTTAATTATTATATCCGGATTGATTTTTGTATTGGCAACGCATATAAAGGTATATTACTCTGTCAAATCTCTCTTATGTGGTTTAAACTTTATTTGTGTTGTGCTAGAGTTGAAAATTGTTTTTAGCTTGGGGTACAATGATGTACTGTTTGTTTACCAACATAACCTAACTACGGTCATCGTTTATCCATAGTGTAATTAGGATTCATTCTATGTACTAGGATTTTCTCTTGTCGTGCATTTTACTCAACTATTATACCCGTACCCGGAACACAATACTTCCATTTTCAAAAAGCGTATGAAAATCTGCTCAGTAATTTTAGAGAAACGCACTAACAAACACAAAGACGACACAATATTTTTTAAACGAAACTTACCTATTATTTTAGTAACATCACACAGATTAGGAAAACAACAGTAGACTGTAATTTTAATACCAAATTAATAATTACTACTTCTCAACAGGCTTTGTTGTCGAAAATTCTAGACGAGGTTTTCGCAATGGTGAAGTTACATGACCTTGAATTCTGGCGAATGTAGTGTAAGGCTACACTGCTCTAATGGCCGCAATCCTGACTACCGCTCACGAAATCACCAAGTTTCATTTCCTGCTATTCACTAGTCACTAGGAAAACTATTAGCATTTTTTTTCATAATCATAAACCTAGACCTCTCTTATTGAGATTTTTTTATGTCTTAAACCGTATAACGAGACCTGATTACCTGATGGTAAGCACTCAGTGCCGTCGCTGGACACAGGAAAATCTAGCCTTTAAATCATTCAGTACAGGCGAATGGGTCGGCTCGACCGGAGTGATACCACGACCTAGCAGAAATCCAGTATGAAACGTTTTTCCGCGTGAGTGAGGTTACCGGAGGCCTATTCCTTCCTGTCCCCCAAATTGTTCGGAAACCCTCAATGTCCAAAAACCGAAACCCCGAAAGGTCGGCAACGCACTCGCAACTGGTCCCTTGTACATGGGTGGCGATGATTTATTTTCATCAGGTAATGCAAGGGCCTGTTTACCGTCCTATCAAATGAAAAAAATTGTTTTTACCTCCGGTAATCTGTACACTGCGAAACAATAGACAAGCTTTGTTTCACGTCGTTGGTATTTTGTGGGGCCGTAGTATCACTCTGGCCGAGACGGCACGACCTGAGAAACGTTGTCGGAAAAGAAATAATCTACCAACGAAACTCATAGGCTCCTTAAATTCAATAGCTAACCTATTGAACTGCTCGATAGAAAAGTAACCTAAAGATACGAGTACATTGTGTTCGAGAAAAGAAAACAAAATGGCGATATCGCCCGTCGATACCTGCGCTGTAGTTAGGTACCAAGAAGGTTTACATTCACAACTCATTCATACAGCGAATAAAACTGAATGAATGAAATATTTCTGTTTATAGAAAAGAACTGAAATCTTTCTCTTTAAAAAAATATTAGGACCTATTTTTGGCAGCCATGATAAGTGTAGAAGTTATTTTTTTCACTAGCTTCTGTTGCGTGGTTTTCCTCGCTGTTCGTCTCCAACAAATCGTAGCGTGATTTAGCCTATAGCCTTCCTCGACAAATTTAGCAGCAACAAACCCAAACACTAAATTCTGTCGCGCTGTTTCCCTCGCTGTTCGTCTCCTACAAATAGTAGCGTGATGTTTTATAAAACCTAAACCCTTCCTCGACAAATGTAGCAGCAACAAACCCAAAAAGAATTATTCAATTCGAACCAGTACTTCTGGAGATTAGCGCGTTTTAACAAACAAACAAACTCTTCAGCTTTAAATATGATAATATAGGTTATAGTTGTAAAATACACCTTCCACTTCAATCACACTGTCTATTCAAAAAAACCGCATCAAATTCCGTTGCGTAATTTTCAAGACTGTTGACTGTTGACTTTACAAAACGCCATGGGGAACAAGATGTGGGCCACGCTAGCGGAGGATTCCTCAACTGTAATCTGTCGGCAGTCAATGACTTAAGGGTAATATGAATATCACTCTGTTTCGTTCGTTCCTTTTTAACCCCCGACGCAAAAAGAAAGGTGTTATAAGTTTGACGTGTCTGTCTGTCTGTGGCATCATAGCTCCTGAACGAATAAACCGATTTAAATTTAGTTTTTTTGTATTACAGGTGTTTTACGGGCGAGTGTTCTTAAACATGTTGGATGAAAATCGATTAAGCCTTTTAAAAGTTATAGGGGGTTAAAGTGGGGAATATGCGCAAGTGGGGTATCAAATGAAAGGTTATGACTTGTACGCCACAAAAAACCAAAACTTTAATAACTTTGATGTCTCTGTCTGTGTGTCTGTGGCATCATAGCTCCTGAACGGATGAAACGATTTCAATTAAGTTTTTTTTGTATTAGGTATATACTTTTTAAAGGTAGCTTATGTTTTTTGGGTCCGGGTTTTTATTAATGTTAAATTTATATTTAATTATTTACATCACAGTCGGACCCGAAACAACAGTTATTGTATCTGAGCATGGATTAAGTATTTCTGTATTAATAGAAGAATTTATTATTGGCTTACGAGAGACTGATGTCTTTGGCTTAATCCTTACTAACATTGTGTGTAAATGTAAAAGTGATTTAATGTCTTTATACATCATAGCACTTGGATGTGAGAGCCACGCTTCGGTACGAATAGGCTGGCTCGACTGATACCACTGCCTTAGAGAAACCCGGCGTGAAATAAACGCTTATGTTAAGTGTCGCCGTGTGACGACCTGACGCCTAAGCCTGAGTTACTTAAAGAATTTTCGAAACCAAGCAACCTACTTTAAAAAAAAAAGAAATAAAGAAAAAGTGTTTGTAAAATTTCAGATTGTTTTATTATTTATATGTCGTACTTAACTATTGTGTTTTTACTTTCAAAAACTTTTGTAAGTATATTATAATCTTTACGTTTTTGTTGCAAAATATTTATGTCTAAGTACAAAATATAAATACAAAAAACGAAAGTGAAATCAAATTAATGAATGCAAATCTATACCAATATTATAAAGAGGTGAAATGTGTAAGTTTGTATGTAGGGGGTAACCTTTGGAACCGCTGGTCGGATTGCCAAAATTCTATCACTGATAGATAGCTACAATGTTCCTGAGTGCTATAGGCTATAAAACATCACGCTACGATCAAATGGAGCCGAGCAGCGGGTGAAAACGCGTGAGAGTCGTCGTGCTAGTCGAATATAATTTTACTAAATGACTTACTGACTTTAAGCGTATTAACACAGAATAAAATAACGAACTTTATGTTTTGTTTTTGTTAATAAGACATTGATTTTGTTGGCTTTTGGACCCGGGACGAATATTTGTGGATACAATTGTGATTAGATCCGTGCGAAAATCGAAGCTGCGTCACGTTGTACGACAGTCAATTATATGATAGGTAGATCATCACACATCATCAGCCTTTAAGTGCCCACTGCTAAGCAAAGGCTTTTTCTCACACTGAGAAGGTTTTGAGCATTAATCACCACGATTGTGATAGGCGATTTCAAACTTATAATTCGAAATTATATGTCCAGGTTTCCTCATGATGTTTTTCCTTCACCGTATGTCATTGGAGTCTAAATAATCATAGAAAGTACATATGACTCGGAAAAAGTCACATTGGTACTTGCCAGGTTTCTGATGCACGAGTAGCAGGCGCCTAAACCTCCGGGCTACCACGAAATTGATCGATCAATATAATATCAAATATTCAAACTAGCGTATTATAATAATATGTTCGCATTTTAACGAGAATCGAACAAATTAATTAATATGTAATCATTTTAGTAATATTTCCCGTTTTAAAGGAAAAATTGTTATATGTAAGTATATGTTT